AGTAGCTATTACCTCTAGTCTAATATGTGTGTTTTTACTGCAGGACTACAACAGCCTCTTTCCCTTGGACGACACTCAACCATCTAAACTTATGCGGCTGCTCAGCTCCAATGAGGACGAGCCTGTAGCTCTCTCCAGTCCAGGTCAGTCTATTAATGTCTGGGTTTTAATACACAGTTGAACTATGAAGCTTGTGACCTTTCAGACGTATATCCGTCAGTCTGAGCTGGGGGATTATGCAAAAACCAGATGGTTCTTTAAAACCTAACATACTTTCTAAGATCCTGTTACGAGCAGGTTATTTCTTGTAGGCACTAAATCAAAAAAAAGCACAAATAAGCCGGGCTTTATGAATCAGTGTGTCTCGGCATTAATTTCCTGTTGCATGTTTTGACCGGCAGCAGGTTCCAACGTGAGCACTGCGGTCTAATGTGGTGTTTTTTGCTTTGAACAACAATAAACAACACGACTGAGATCAACAATGACAGCAGTCGTAGCGTTGTGTTGCTATCCCGTGCTCCTTTCATCCTGCAGTCCACATGACTAATTTAGATCATCAGCTGTGGGAATTTTCATTTTTTTTCCATTTTAGCCACAGCTATACAGAGAAATCCCCAGAAAGGATGTCAAAGAACGGTGTGTTGCATGACTCAGGAAAAAATTTGAAAAGTAAGAACTTGGTAATTCATTTAGAAACTGATGCTCCGATGTACTGGACAACATTTCTTTATCAACAAATGAATAAATAGCTTGACTGAAATATGAATGATTTTTAGTCTTTGACATTTTTTTTTAATAATTCGAAATGAATGTCACCACTGATATGATGCAGTGAAAACTTAGCTTTTATTTTGTGTATAAGAAAAACAGGTAGTCCTCTTTAAAAGAAACTGAAATGTGTCCCTCTCAGTTATTTTAAGAACTAGAGAATATTGAGCAACACAGCGGTGGAAGGAAGTCTGACTGACTTTTGCACCCTTTAGTGAAGAACCACCAACAGAACAGTCGACAGAAAATTTCAACTTCCCTGTTGATATTCCGCTGTTTTGTGTGTAATTTCTTTCCTCAAATGACTGTGAATGAAAGGAAAACAAAACTTGTCAGCTTCTTCTCATGTGTCGTGTAACCTCACAGGAGACCGATCGATGAGCAGTTCCCTGTCTGCGTCTCAGCTGCACACTGTCAACATGAGGGACCCTCTGAACCGAGTCCTGGGTGAGACTTTGTCCACACGCACTGTTCTTTATAACAGAGAAATTACCAGCATCTGTCTGCGCTCCTCCTGTTTGAATAAATATCACATTGACAAGTAAGAAATAAAAGTAAAATCCGACATGAGTGAATATTGTGTGGAGTTGTTTCCAAGGGGAAGTTTAGGAAATTCATTTTCTGAAAAGGATTTAAAGCATATGACCTCCACAGCCACCCCAGCTCATATTCGGCATTCCCACTTGAGGAATAGCAGTCTTAATCAAAACACACGTTGAGGGGAACGATCTCGTGGAGGACCGGTTTTACTTCCCTCCTCCAGTTCTACAGTCTGGTACAATCTATGTCAAAGAGTACTGGCTGTGTATGTGGGCTTACAGTAGCTCCAGAGCACACTAAGACACTTGTTGTTTTTGTGTTGGTCAGTCCCTCGATTTATTGCGTTTTATGTAATTGCTATAATAAATGTTTTTTTGTTGCCAAAGTTAAATTAAAATAAATGTTGTAAACCAAGGCAGGCACATCTGCGACTAAAACATAACGTGTATTCGAATGGATGAAATTAAGAAAGTTATTAGTCAGCCAAGAGTTTAAAAGAGAATCCGGTATGTTTCATCCTTTCCCATAACTGTGGCAAATTGCACATTTACTCGTCATTCTAACCATGCACTCTCCACCTCCTTTGCATTCCCGTGTGCACTTTAAAGCAGACTTGGAACAAAAATGATTCATGTTTAGAAACCTGCAAAGACCTTATCTATACTCACTAAACCTCATTTTCCAGAACTCTCCACAGTGGAGCTGAAGAGTGCAAAGTTCAAATGATGCTTCGAGCCACATTCATGACAAATGCAGCAGGTTGACATAAATCTGAGTTCGTTTTTAACTTGGTCATCTTCTTAATGTCCTGAAGTGAATGTGAGAATCTTGCAGCAACAGTGTAAGTGTTATTTCTTTGGAGGAGTATTTCTAAATGCCCTATTAACAAACCTCCACTAGCTCAGGAAAAGCCATAAACCTGACAGATGTAAAGTAATACACAATGACAATGTCCATCTGTTCTCTTCTCCACAGCCAACCTTTTCCTCCTCATTTCCTCCATCCTGGGCTCCAAGATGGCAGGACCCCACACACAATTTGTGCAGAGTTTTATGGAGGAATGCGTTGAGTGCCTGGAGCAGGGAAGTCGTGGGAGCATCCTGCAGTTCATGCCCTTTACAATGGTGAGTTACGAGACAGGAGGAAAAGAAGCTGAGACAGGTGGAGATAAGGAGGGAGAGGAGTGGCTGTTGAGTCAGACATGATTGGAACCATTCACAATTCCTCCTTAAATATTTTAGGTGTTTTTTTTGCTTAGAATTCACACGTTTAAAGGTTAGTTGGTTTGGCAAAGATTGAGAAAGAATCGCAGCATCATCATCTATGAAAGCCACATGTATCCATAAGAGATGATCGTTTTTAAAAACTGGGCTTTTCAAAAAAATTGGGGTGTTCGAGTTGTTATATTCACAATGATATTCAGCCTATCTGCGGTGGAAGAAGTATGTAGACCCTTAAGTAAGAGCACACCAATGTTAAAATACTCCATTACAACGCAGTCCTGCGTGAGTAATCCAGCTTTACTAAATATACACAAGTATTAGCAGCACAAAGTTGATGAAGTATTAAAGTAAAAATGCTGATTTGGTTCCTCTGTGATATATATATAAATAAATAAATATATATATATACATTACATCATTAGTTTATAAATACAGAAGCATCTTGTGTCAGCAGCATGTTGCAGTTGCTGCTGCAAGTGGAGCTACTTTAACTACTTTATATACAGTTTAACCCTTAACTATGTGTTGTGTTTTAAAAGCTTGTTTTATCCATTGCACCAAACCTTCATCTTATAAGTAAAAGAGTGGAAAGTGCAATGTTTCCCTCTGAATTGTGGTGGAGTAGAAGTATGAACTAGTTTAAAAAGGAAACACTCAAGCACAAGTCCGTCCAAATTGTTCTTAAGCACAGTACCCCCTAAATGTGCTTCACTACTTTCCACCACTGCAGCTTATTTATTACTCAGAAGTATTTTCGGCAGCCAGTTACCACGAGATCCTACACAGCGCTTTCTGGAAAGGGAACCTGAATTGCACCATCTGACGTTGGAGAAAATGCCCTGTCAACAATCGACAGTGAGAAAATGAATTGGTTTAGAGGAGCTTTTTCTTGGGTTGTACTCATCCACTTAAAGAACTAACGGGCACTAAAAACCAGATCAAAGGTCAAAACATGCTGTTTGGGAGGAAAAAAAAGAAGAAAAAGAAGCATGACCTGGAGTCTTGAGCAACACGACTCCCACTGAAGTGTTTCTTCAAACATCTGAAAGTAATGGGTGTCTATCTTTCTATGCATCCAGGTTTCCGAGCTGGTGAAGCTGCCCGCTCTGGCCAAACCTAAAGTCGTCCTGGCTATCACTGACCTGACTCTGCCGCTGGGGAGGAGAGTAGCTGCTAAAGCCATCTCTGCTCTATAAACTCTGGGTTTAAATTTACCTCGCTACCAAATTGACAAAGTGATCCTCTGTTGGCGGGTGAAGTAAAGCCCGGTGGTAAAAACAAAACAGGAGCCCTCTGTGTGGCTGGACTATCGATTTAATGCAGTTTGAATGTGTTTATACTCGTGTTTCTCTAAACAGTTTTGCTATCCTTTTTCATGGTCCTTTTCACACTCGTGTAAATAAGTTTTCAAATAAAAGAAAACTCCTGGTGAAGATCTAACTTCTTCTTTTCTGCCGATATTATTCAAAGTGAGTTTCATTCAATCTGTGTTTATTACCACATCGCATTATGAGTATGTCACATCTGGAAGTTACCATAACATGACACCTGACCGCTGTGATTCGCCCCTGAGTCAGGACAATCACATGCTGACAAGCCAACCACATGATGCGACGTGAACGGACTGATCCTCTGAATGACAGAGGTGGTCACCCACCGCTTGCAACACTTCCTCAAGAAAGCCATCTGACAGAACGGTGGAAGTGACGACACCAGAGCCTTTTTTTTTTTTTTTCCCCACTTTTAGTTGCGCTTCTCCGCTACAGTATGAACTTCAGTGGAAGTGTAGACGTAATTTCATGGGTGTCAGCTTGTGCCAGTGCCCGCTGCGTCACCGTGTGTAGTCATTGGCATAAAAAGAGGAACGACACTCTTTTCAGGAAAAGGTTTTTTTTCTTTTATTGAAATATCAAAAAATACAAGCATGTGCAGCAGGTTTTGAAATAAAGATTCATACAAAAATAATTATACAGAGTTCATTAGTCCTAAACGTGCCCCCAGTCCCCTTAATGAGTGTTAATAAAGTTCATACATGTCTTATAGATGGATGTTCAGTTTTGCTAAACGATGTTGCTAGTCAACAGGCCTGTGTTCAGTTCAGTTCAGCTTTATTTATATAATGCCCATTCATAACATAAGTTATCACATAGTAAGGTGAAATAGAGAACAGAGAACATGACATGAATGCTGCCTTTGGATTCCCTATGAGCAAGCAGTCTGCAACGGAAGGAACCAAAACAAAACCCTCTTTAACGAGGAGGGAAAAACAATAATTATAATAATAATAATAATAATAGATCAGATTTATGTAGCGCTTTTCTAGGCACTCAAAGACACTGTCAGTTATTCATTCACACACATTCATTCCGGTGGTGGTAGCTCCGACTGTAGCCACAGCTGCCCTGGGGCAGACTGACAGAGGCCTGGCTGACATTCCTCTGACCACCACCTCAAACAATCCGTTCATACGCATTCACACCAGGCAAGGTGAGAGAAGTGTCTTGCCCAAGGTCACAACGACCATGACACAGGTTACAGGGCCGACCTTCCAATCATCGATCGGCTCGCTCTACCACCCCAAAACAAAAACCTCCGACAGAACAAGGCTGAGGGACGGGGTGAAAGTACAAGTTGTCTGAGCTGTCGACGAAAACTCAGCTGAGGGATGCGAAGCCTTGTTATTATAAATTAAACCTAAATAAATATTGCATATTGTAATTCCATAAATAAATATATAAATAGAAATACAAAAATAAATAATCTTTAGACAGGTCAATAAATAAATACAATCATAAAACATGGCAAAATAAGCTACAGACATCAAGCACAGAGTGTGGCGCTGGCTGGTCAGCTCTCGGTCTCTTCTTCATTGCCGTGATCCAGAACCCTCAGGCAGCGGATTATGTCCTGCCCTAAGGCCTGGAGCTGCACCAGGGTCAGATGCGTCGCCACCTGAACTTCGTAGTCCCCCGGCAGACGTAAGGCCACGGGGGTTGGGTTGGGCTGGGCCACCACTTCCGACTGGGCCATCTTTAACATCTGCAAAGCACACAAAACGATTACAAGGGGCTCAAAGTGCAATATGCATCAGGACAGACTTGATTTAGAAGTGCTCTGATACCTTGTTGATCTGAATGGCGAGGTCTCTGACGTCAGCCATCAGCCCGGTCACTTTATCTTTGTTTCCCACTCGAGGTGAGATGGAGCTCAGCAGGGCTCGGTGCAGCTGCAGGCCCTCGTACATCTGCGTCAGGCTGTCCTCCTGATAGGGAACGAAAGCAGCACACCGGTCACGTTCTCTGTTTATTTAGACTCGTAGGCTACGTACAAAATGCTTCACCCCTTTGAATGACGCTTACCAATGAGGAGTTTTCTGACACGACTTTGATCACCGGAGCAGAGGGGATGCCGATGGTGGATGCCATGATTACCAGTTTTGCATTTTCTGAAGAGTTGAGTTTTAGAGTCTGCGGTGAAAAGAGGACACAAAGATGTTACGGATGGGCTGCAGCTTGGCATGTAAAAGCAAACACAGGCTGTGTGAAGTAAAAGCAGTAATACCACAATGTAATAATACAGCATCACAAGTACAGGCAAAATTCAACTTCAACAAGTTATTTTAAGAATTAAAATCGCAACTGATGTATAATGGCATGTAGCAATGTGGTATTACTGGATTATTACTACTGATGCATTACCCTGTAACAAGTTGGTTGTTGTGTTTGACCTCATTCGAACTATTTTATTCACTTTTGCATCATGTTTTGTGAGGTCACAGGTTTGTTTTGCGTCTTTAGAATAAGTAGTGGCTCTAAACTCTGAGTGAAATGTCATTATTTGGCAGGAAAATGTTGGATCAATATTATTGCAGCAGTAATGTGGATGCTGCATTGTACACTGTTGGCTAATCTAATCTAGAGCCAATTCCAAAAGATCCTAATGTCTGTGCGCTTTTCGGAAGCTCTGAACCACAGGCCTGTTCTCAGCTTTGTGACTATGCATTTTTCAGCTAATCCAAGAGGATTATCGCATAGTTTACTAAATATGGGAAGGAGAGGATGTTCTCAGCACGTAAAGAAACACTTAACCCTGAAGGGAATGGTGTGAAAAACGATCACCTGAGCAACATTTGCCTCTGAGATGTAGTCGAGTAGAAGTATTAGGTGGAAATACCCAAGGAAAGAGTATTTACTTTGAATTGTTTACAGCGCTTGAGTAATTAGTTACATTTCATTACTGCATGAAAAAAAGCAAAATCTATTAGCAACACAATGTACCCAAATGTTTGATAAAAAGTACGCAGAATAGACTTTATCAGTGGGACAAATTAATATTATTCCTGATCTGATTTTTTTTTAAGTACTCTTAAAGGTAACTAGTAACTGCAGCTATCAGACAAATGTGATGGAGTAAAAATATTAAGTGGAAATAGTCAAGTCAAGTCAAATTTTGTACCTAATCTTGAGTAAATGTACTTAGTTACACTCCATGACTGGAATTACTCAAAGTACAAGTAGCTTAAAGTTGTAATCAAGTATGTAAAAATAAGAATAATAAGGAAATGGAAACATAGAAAGTGGCAGATTTGATGTTGGAAATGAGCAACTCATTGGTTTCATTGCTGCAAAACTCAGACAGAAGACACTAGAACAGCTCTAAGAAGCCACATGGCTGCTACTAACCACCAGATCACCACAATTCCTCATCTGACTCTATAACTTATAAAATACGCGATGCACGGTGACTGCTGCACGGCCAACAGTGTGAATGGACACATCTCAGACAGTGGCAGTCTGTCAGATCAATAAAGAGCCACAGTGCTGACTGTCAGACTCAGTCTTGCAGGAGACGCACAAATGACGCAGCAGCATTAAAGCTCTGCGTAAAACACATTCATCCAAAGCGAGAACACACACCAGCCACCAAAAAAAAAAAAAAAGCGCCACACAGTACAGACACCGTATCTCACCTCTGTGTGAATGCAGGATTTGTGCATGTCGGGAATGGAGAGCAGGATCTTCTCTGTTAAACTGCGGCTTGTCTCCACAATCTCCTGAAATTGCGGATCCTCAACAAGTGCGCCTTTCTCCGGCAGAGGTGCGCTGCAGACGAAGGTGGCCATGAAGCAGGGAATGGCGAAAACTGCAAGAGGACAAGAAGAGGAGGAGGAAGAAGGAAAAAAATCAGAACAAATCCCCTTTATGCATCCAGCACAGTGTGCGTGAGGGAGGCAGAGGAGGCAGAACAAAAGCCTGGCTCTCTCTCTCTCTCTCTCTCTCTCTCTCTCTCTCTCTCCTCAGCAGCTCCTCTGTGCTGCAGAGCTGGGCATGTCCCCCCTCAGGCTGAATAGCTGCATGAGTTCAGCACTGAAACATGAAGCCTGAGCCAAAAGTAGCTGCATTAGTTAAATATAGTTACAGATGTATAAAATTAAACATTAAAATAAACTGTAAACTTACTATCAATTAAAATATCCTCCTGTTGCTTTAAAATAAGCCCTCCAATAAGCAGCAGTGAGTTCAAGCTGGTTCAAAGGTTTGATCCTCCTCACTGACAAAAAACCTCACTATTGTCTCTGCAGCTTCCCCTTCAGAGGCTTTGCTGCCTCTGGGGATGATCAGCAGAAATTCTACAAGCATTACCTCACTACTCACCAATCAGGATGTTCATGTCCTCTGTTGAGAAATGTCTTAAAGTATTGACCTCCACTGAAGGAATTCATGATTTTTACTCTTATATAGCAAGCATGTGGCGGGATTCCCCTTTGTTTGGTCATCAAGTAGTCTAATTATGCGTGACTACATTTCCACGTAATTTACACGGTGTTACAACACATTCAACTTTGTACATCTCTAGTGTTTATGATTTATTATTGGATGTGAGTATTTGATTGACTATTAAAGCGGATCTCCAAATATTTAGTTTTTTCCCTTTTCAACAAAATCCACACAAATTTACCCAACTTTTTTTTCTTTTGAAAAAACAATCACAAAAGCAGTTGACAACATTCATAAAATAAGAAAATAAACCATCATACAGGTTAGAAAGATAAAATACATATATACACAGTTGTCCTCGAATGTATTCAAAACCTTCCATGAAAGAAACGGCAAAATTCACAATAGTCACTCAAATAACTAGAAACTGAAAAAAGTCATAATAAATAAAAATTTGCTAAATTATAATTTAGTGAATTAAGATGTTGCTTTAGAATTGTGTTTGGAAAGAATAATTTTAAAAATGTAAAAATAAATCTGTCCTGAACAGATTAGAGCACTTTGCTGATGAGCAGTGAGATCAAAATACCTGTCAACAGGTGCGGAAGTCTGATTGAGAGTTACAGAAAACACTTGATCCAATCCCATCGTGCTTGTTTGTTTGTTTGTTTGTTTTAATTTTTAAAAAATGTTTCTGTTGAACCACAATTCAAAAGCAACGTCATGATTTTCATTACATTATTTATTATTACTTTTGTCAATTCCAACTTATTTCAGTGACAGCTGTTTTTTTCCTTCTTTAATGGGAGGGTATGAATACATCTGAGGACGACTGTATATATCAACAACAAAAATGACAATTATCATGTGAAAGTTTTAGAGTGTAAATCTCCAAATTATCATAACTCTAGAGTTTCATTTTAGGAAGTGAGACTCCTTTATTGCTGTTCTTCTGTAGTGATGACATACGTAGTAGTTGCAGTATGAGATTGCTCAAAACCGTCTTAACGTCACAAATAAAGAAATAAAGGAGCAAAACGGACATTTCCTGTGACAGCACAGACAGAAACTGAAATGGAAAGTGTGTAAAAATTCTTTAGTAGTAATGTTTTCTGAAATGCAGGATTTTTTGAGAGGAACCTTTTCTTTAGTTTTCTTCTCTTTTCTTTTCTTTTCTTTTTTTTCTTACGTTGTCTGCGGCCATTCTGATTGTTTTTGGCCGTCATGAGTCCACTGAGTAGGAGAATTTGTGGGTTTTTTTCCTTGCCATTAATAGACTGGAAAATGTGACATCTTCCTAGCAGATGTGTGGGACAGAAATGTTTGTGAAAAGTTACGAAATGGAAGAAAATAAACACCAAAAAAACAACAGCCATGCCTCTAGATGAAGATGCTTTTCCCAGACTGTTAAGAATATTATGACATTTTGGATGACTGGCTAATGATCCACAAAGGTCCCCACTGCTTAAGAAAGGTATAACAGTGTTGTTACAGTCTATAAATCACATTTGGATGCAGAAATACATTTGCAAGAGATTATTTTAACTTCATATTACTCCAATCATGAAATGAATCTTTGTGATAAACATGTTTAGTTTTAAGCCAACGAAAATACGAATTCTCTACTTGAGGAAAAGAGTTGGTATGATATTTAATTAGTCCAGTTTCCTTTTAAATTTCAGGTCCAGCATGTTTTTAATGAAGCATCTAATGAATAAGGTCAGTAATATTACCAGAAATATTTTTGTAACATAGAAGTGATGTGAAAATACGACGATGATTCGTGTGACGTATTAGTTTTGGTATTAATTTTGAAGAAATCGATTGATAAATTAGTGATGAAATATTTAAAATAGCTGAAAAAAAATATTGTTATATTGTTTGAGTGGTAACTTTTTGATGATCCAACACAGTCAGTGCTTTGCATGAAGTAGTTTAGATGAGTGGTTGGGCATTGATATTGAAATTGAGAAATAAAAAAGGATAAGACTTGAGAGATGCAGAGAGAAAGAGGGCCCCCTGGTGGAGGCACAGGTTTGACCTCTTGAGATCAAGGGAATAAAGCAGCTGGTCTTGCAGTGAAGTCTTGCCTTTACATTAAGGATGATGCAATTATTTGCTTTTTCTGCCAAGAGTTAGATAACAAAATCCTCTCTCTCTATGTAATGTGTAGCTCCTGCCAGGAGAAAGTTAACATAGCTTTGCATAAATATTAAAAACAATGGGAAGCAGGTTGTCAGATTCAATCCAGAAATATCCACATCTGTCTACCAACATCCTCTAAAGCTCACTAATTAACTTAGACCATGCAAAAAAAAACTGCAACTGTAGATGAAGCTCTCTAGGACACCTGCAAATAATCCTGTACATCTGTGTATAAATGCAGGAAAAGATATTAGTTAGCTTTAAAAGAAGTGCATGTTTCATTACCTTTGACTGAGTTTCTTCAGTTATTTGCTTCATGCTAAGCTAAGCTGCTACAGCTAAGTGTATCGCTCTTCCCATTGAACTGTGGGCTTGAAAGCAAATCAGCATTTTGTTTTGTAATTTAAAACTATTTCTCTTTTTACCAGTTTAATTGAAAGCTTAAATCGTAAGTTGTGAAAGTTGATAAAGGTGTCCCACAAGGCTCCATGCTGGGGCCTTTGCCACTCACCCTTCACAAAGATAACATTTTCTCTTCTATACCTGGCTGTAATGTACATCTTCATGCTGACAGTACAATTATGCTGTCAAAACACTTCAACACTGAATTGCTTGTTAACATGTTGCACTCGGTGAGTTCAAACTAGGTCTTAATGCAGACAGAAATCGAAACTCAGCATATTTGCCAGAGCTAAAATTATTGCTGTACTTAAGGTACACGTTGAATCACGCTGCAAGTGCTGGCTGGAAAATCCAGTTTTTCTCACTGTGCAGCTGCAACATGTTATAATATCTAAAGCTTGATTCCTCTTAATCCTCAGGGGAATTCAGGGACTTCATTCACCTTATTGTAAATCCAGCTGCTTTGTTTTAGTTGATTCACTTGTCTTGTAATAGTAAATGCTCCAATTAATGCTTTTACTATTAATATACATGTTATCCAAGTTTATTTACGTGCCTACATCTTCTTTCTCTCTCCCTCTCTCCCTTTCAGCTTAATTATAAATGAGGCCTCTATGCACCAATTGACTTTGAGTTTAAATAAATGTTGAATGAATGAAAATGCTCGTTTCGCGGCTGCAGCATATAGCATTGTCATGAGAGCTATGTAATCACCTCATAAGTCCGTCCTGTGCCTCCTTTGTAGCAGATCAGCTTGCCTCTTGCTCTAACATGAGGCCCCTTGATCAGTCGGTGTAGCTACGTTACATGTGGCCATGCTTGATAAGCCGTGAAGTGAAGCTGTCAAATCTGATCCCTGAAATCCACACTGGTCTGATCTCCAATCAATCCTGCACATGAAAGGAGAGCATCATTCACTGCTGAGGCCCCTGTCAATGACCCGGTTGGAGACACTATTTGATTGTAGCGGCGGAACAATGCGCCGAAGCAAAGAGCCACATGCTTTATTCGATGTACACCACGGCGTCACCTCCGTATCGGCCATTACACTGAGTGGAAAGATATCTGGGTGCATGATTTCCCTCAGATTTAGTGCGATCAATCTGTAGCCCCCTGAAGCCTTGCGGTATTAATAAGAATTTAAAATAAGGCTCCACGGGGAGGAACAATGCTCGGCTCTTCGGCAGGCATTCAAACGGGCAATCTGGTGGGATTGTGGAGGTCAAGGGGGGTTTGAAGTTGGAATGCAAAGAGAGTGTGCAGTGAAATCAGGAAGGAGTTTTATCTTCAACCCTCATCTCTTAAATCTCTAAGTTTGGGACACAGGCTGCAAGTTTCATCCTAGATTTCACAGGAGACCAATAAAGGATCTGACAGCCATAAAATGACTCTATTTGATTATATCCGGTGAAATGGGAAAAGACTGCAGAGAACACATCTGTGGATAATATACTTTTCACAAAAGGTGCTGATTGAAAATGTTTTCTGGCTCACTGTTGTTCATTTACAATGATCTTCGCTCATGCTTTGTAAAATGTCAAAGCCTTTGGCCTACAGGAACTGGCATTAATCCAGCTTACAATGAACGTGTTCATGCAAGAAAATCAGGCCAAGGTGAAACACTATATTTACTCCCACTCTTTTTTTCCACTGAAGTGTCAGTCAGAAACTGTTACAGATACTTTCCCCTGTTTTTGCAACATCAGGAAATTTTGAGATAACATGCACTGATGTTCTTGAGTCACATCCGAAGACTGATACGATCGGTACACCAGAACATCCAGGTTAGATTTCTTGTAAACACCAGATTTCCACGACTGATTGTTTCATGTGAATTCATGCAGACTGAGAGTAACGCTGAGGGGTTCTGTATCTTGGAAAACCATCAAACCGAGGAATTGCAAAATGCGCTCTTTGCGGACAGTCAGCCCTGTCGGGAAGACACGTGACTAAAGCCGGTCCTGCTCATCCTCGGATGTTCGGAAAGGATGTTGTTCAGGAAATTATTTCACAGGAGACATGATGATGATGATGGAAACGACTTGTAATTCCAATAAAAGTTGCCATTCATCAGCTCGGGTGCACATCTGTGTTTCTTATTATAATGAGTTACGCTGGACTCAGGGTGAAAGCATCCACGTATTTTTGGTGGGTTTTCAAAAATTTCACAAACGATGACCAGTCACTGAGGGGGTGTCCAGACTGGGAATCTTGTCCTACAATAAATGTATGTCTCATTAGTTGGCAGGTTGCACCGACAAATCAAGATGATGATTTATTATATCAGAGCAACACTGAGCATAC